CTGCAGGGAACGGCAGCCACGGAGGGCCCGCGCTGGGGTGGGGGAGCGTGTGAGGAGGAAGAGGCGGCAGGGAGGAGCCCTTATGGACGGGCCACAGCCCCCGTTCCCACCCCCTGCGCCCGTTGGGGCAGGGGGAGGCAGAGGAGTAAAAAAAGGAGGCGAGGGGAATGTGTTTTAGCTTTTTTATCTTTTTCACCATCCAAACCTATTTTAATTTGCAAATAATTAAAATATTTTTTTCCAAGTCAAGTCTGTTTTGCCCATGAAGGTAATTGGTAAGTGATCTCCCTGTCTTTATCTCCTCCCATGAGCTTTTAAATCTTATTTTCTCGTCCCCATCCTATTGAGGGGGAGTGAGAGAGCAGCTGGGTGGGCGGCTGGCAGCCAGTCCAGGTCAATCCACCACAATATCACATGCCGTGGGATTTTATATAGCAGTTCCTTCAGAGGGAGGAATTCTTCCTGCATGATGTGCTTTAGTATCCAGCACATAACCCTTCTTCTCAAATGTACAGCACTGCATACTGGAGTGAAATCTCCTGGAGGTGGGAGAGAAAGACAGAGAGGAGGAGTGTGTGTGCCACTTGGAGAAAATGGGACAGCATATCCTGACCAACATTTGAGATGCCAACAGGTTCCTGTGTTCGTAGACTTGCAAGCTCGTAAGAGCTGCTGTGCTGGGGTAGACCACTTGTCAACAAAATTTCTACAGGTTTCCTTGTAATAAATCAGAAATTAGCGTTTATATTTTATAGTAATTCCTCTGTGTTGGAAATGCACAGCATGACAGTCATTATTTGAATGTGTCGCTGAAGTGTTTGTGAAGATGAGAGTTTAACAAAGAAAGTTACTGTGCTGAAATAAACATGGTAAAAAGGAGATAGGATAAATGAAAACATCTTCCTGTCCCTGCAGAAACTCAACGTATTGCATGAAGGTGTCCATGTCCTTGACGGTAGCTGAGAATGAATCTGGGCTTTGCTACAACAGCAAGATCAGATATCTGGAAAAATCAGAAGTCACTAAGAGAAAGACAATCTCCTGTCCTGATATTGAGGATTACAAAACAGCCAGTCAAGAGCCAGATGTGGTGTGGTACAAGGTAACTATTGCTGTCTTATTGCTGTTGTGCTGAAACTATACAAAACTTCCATTGTTTTCAGTCGGAGGCGTAGAGATGGCCTTTTCTGAGCCCGCAGTGGTTTGTGACTGGTCTGGAGGATGCTCTCCCGGTGTTACAGAAGTAATACTGAAGTACAGGAAAAACTACCCAGCAGAGTCATTGTCTAACAGAAATCAGCATCAAGGAGGCTGTTCTGTGCAGGAGGTCACATGATTTCTCTAACAGCTCTAACAGTTCCCAAACCACTGTGCTTCTGTACTAGTTTCCACCTTGGTAGGATGTTTCCTCACCTGATACTGTAGTAGAAACAAAGGGAGGCAACCTACAATGGAGCCAAAGGTGTATGAGCACCACCAGCTTAAGTAGTGCTACCCAATTAATTTTTATGAAGTCAGTTGGGTAATTTCACCAAGGCTTATTAATTTTTACCAAAGTCTTCTGGGTAATTTCACAGAGATGCATTTACTTTTGCTGAGGTTCACTGAGTAATTTTGCTGAGGTCTGTTAATTTTAACAGAAGTCTGTTAGATACTTCTACTACTCGGTAGGTAACATGGCTGGCTGTACCTTCTCCAAGGCCTGTCAAGCACTGCACACCACTCTCAGCAGCAGATGTATCGATGATGTGTTTCTGTAGCTTCCCAAGAAAGCAGGAGAATGACTAAAATATCAGGTATGAAGACCACAGCAAGGTCTGGCAAATTTTACCTGTTGTCTGGGCTTGGTCCAAAGTCTGATATTTGAAAAGACCTCAGGTACGAGTTGCTGCAAGAAACAATGGAGAATAAAGAGCTGAGAGCCAGGGGGAACAAGTAGTTGGGCAAGAGGAAGAGCTCAGTGGGGTCTGTGGAAAACAGAATCTGGATTGTAGGGATAAAGGCAGAATAAGTTTAGGACAAACTTGGTTCAGGTAATGAAGACAGAAACACACAAACTAGTTAAATCCTAAATTTTGAGTGCTTTATTTGCCAGCCTTAATAACATTACTTAAAGATAGTTATTTTGTGTGGAATAAGTAATATGTGCAGAGCTACAGATTTTTTTCGTCCTTAGCAGGTTGCATCAGAAAAGAACAAATATAAAAGTTGTCATCTATTTCTGTTTCTTACAGAAATCTCACATGTTCTATTTTACAGTAACAAAACGTGTGCCGTAACCCACTGTTAGTATAAACAAAGTTTTTCTTTCAGCCATTGAAGCTGTTTCTCTCAGCATATGGGTGGACATCTTCAGTGCTGTTCATACATAAAATATGTGTATTCAGTTAAGTCTGAAATCTTGGAGAAAAGAGTGTACCAGAGAGAAGGTGCTTCTTGCCCTGTCTTCCTAGGTATTACTGAACACCAGATCACTGAAAATCTCTTTCCAAAAGCGCACTGAAAAAATAGTCTGGCAGGAATAATCTTCAGCTGTCATGGAGCAGAAATCAGTCTAGGGAAGATACATGTACAACCCCACATCAACGATGTTGTGTGCTGACCAAGAAAAGGAACAGAATGGTCTTTGTTCTGTATGCCCACACATGTTATCTGGGTTGCACACACAGGTTGTGTGACACCAGGCTGGAGTGTGACAGCTGACTGACAAATCATCACTGCGGTGAAATTGAACAGAATTGGTGTGGTTGGATGATAACGGTGAGACAGTCAAAGTCAACAGCCTTTAGCCTGGCTTGATAATGAAAAGAGACATTAGTGGAATAACCTACTACATATACCTCCTTATCCATAATTAACAATAAGGTGCTATCATTTCAGTTCTTAGACAACACCTATGTCATCTGGACCTGAGTCAGGAAGCTCAGTAATGTGAAATATCACTATTAATATTATGCAGAAGGTACATATGTTAGGTTATCCCTTGAAACTTATTCCTGAAACAGGGTTTTGGAAAAATATTCTAGAGGGTATTATGGTACTAACTGTTAATAGGAGTCTGCCTATTCAAAAGAGCGTAAGTCCAGTTTCTAGAAAATATATTATTACTTGGATTACAAAATAAAATGATGAGTACTGGGATAACCCCTACAAACCTCAGTCTGGGACTTAAGATCGCATGCTGTGTGAGGCACCTTGTGTAACAAAAAGCTGGTCCCTTCTCCTGAAGAATAGTGGAAAGTGATATTCCACCTTAGGATCTGACTCTCACTTTCTGAAGAAGGCATCTGTTTCCAGTCATAGCACACTGGATCCTCAAGTTTTTCCCTTCTACCTTTGTGATTGAGTTTGATGTGTACATGAAGGTGTAATCAGCCATCTTGTGTAAATCTGCTCCAGAGGCACTGGGGGCAATTCCTTTTCATTATGCTGAAACATTTAGAGAAGATTTTCATCCGGGGGAGAGCATAAGTTGTCCAAAATAGAATAGTAGATAAATAAAGGAAGTCCTCGAGGTTCCTTCTTCATACCTTGGGCTGAAAAAATAAATCCTTGTGTTCACAAGAACCTGCCAGTTCTCTGGTAGTCAGGGAGTTTGGACTTGTGACCAATGAAATACCGTCAGGCAGGACAGGAATGGTTCAAGCCAACCATGTGCAGGACTCACCCTGCCTTCCAGAAGGCTTCTCTTTGTGGAGGGATTAATGAATCTGAGCCAATAATTGCATCAATTTACAGGGAGTTAACTGTAATTTAAACATGCTCTTAAAATAATTATGCCTGAATAGATTTCCACATACACACCCGATAAGTAATAAAACATTTGCTATGAGGATTTGTTTTAACAGTAGCATGAACTTCACTTCTGGCTAGAATTACACTGCATGAAATATTTATTTTTAAAGATTTCCACAATTAATGCCATTGATATACACACAGCTCTGCTACGCCTCTTGGAACTGTTTTGACAAGAAGTATAAGGATTTTTTTAAAAATAAATGTATGTGTCAAGGCATGATTGAATGGATGGGATTTAGCAGTAAGAGCAGTTTTGTAAAAAATCAACTGGCAGAGGAAAAAGGTATATTACCTCTAGAATGCGGAGTCTTAATCCATTTCCACCATCTCTTTTCTACTACTAGGTTGAAGGAAGGGCTGTGAAAACAATCAGAATGTCAGGTGAAGGACAGGTAGTTGTTATCTACCCTACAAAAAATAGAGTTGTTGAGGTGCTGCCACTTTAAATTTCAAGGAAGGGGAAAAGCAGCATAATAGTGCACAACTTAATTATTGGGGGGAAAAAAACCCAAATATTTAAGATGTCTAAGGAGAATAAATAGGCTAGAAAAAGAAACCTTCAGATTCTTCTAGCAGGTAAACATGGCGCAAAAGCAGAAAAGAGCAATTAATTGGTTAAACAAGTGATAGTCATACAGTTGAGCATTTACCTTCTTAGAGAAATCAGCAGACCTCTGACAGTAAAATCTAGATTGTTTCCACAATCTAAAGACTAGGTAGATTTTTTTTTTAATTGGATTGTTTCTCAGATGTTTTTGCTGCTTAAAATACAAATTGTTATGATTTCCCAGCTTCTTCCCTTTTTTGCTTTTAGTTTTGTGGATTGAACTAGTCTGTGAATAACAGGCAGAATAAACCAGGAATTTTCAACACATTTAGAAAGCCTGCATAGTCAGAAGAATAAAAATTAATTAGCTAAAATTTGGGAAAGAAAGGGTTATAAATAGTTTTTAATATGAAGAGTTTTAAGTAGATACAAAAAGAAACAATAGGAAATTAGTGGTACAATTCCAACAGAACAATTCCTCATTGTAAAGCCACAATAGCACAAACACTGTGCTAAATCATTAATCTGTAGTAGTAAAGATGTCACCCTTCTTATTACAAACATGTAGTATACAAAAAATAAAGTGTATGAAAATGTATCTTTGATGTCTTTGGTCTCATATTTTAAAAAATAAAATAGAGAATATAAAACTGGTAACGTATGATAGGGCCTTTCAGTGCTGCACTGAAAGGGTGTATATCTGAAATAGGCTTAATTTGTGTATCCTGGGAATCGTATTCCTTCTAAATTAGGATTGAATAGAACTGAATCCTATTCTTTGCTCAGTGTTCAGATTTAGTTACTCGAAGTAGGTGCTTGATGCACCTTTAAATAGGACTAAAAAATTGAGTGCAAATCAGAAAGGATTTATTGGCATTTCCTGGCTCAGATCTGTGTCCTGCATGAGTCTCAAGTGATGTCAGTGTAATTTAGTAACAAAAATAAGCTCTGATTCTTCTTAGCACAGCAGATAGGATCTGGATTCTGATCATTCTCTGTCATCGATGTTAACTAAAGTTCACATGCAGGAGACAAGATTACACTTTCCTTACAGCTGTACTTTGGAAACAGAAAGATAACCTGAACATTCCGTTACCTGCAGTTTCAGTATTCGAAATCTGACCACATTGTAATTGAATTTGGCCTACTAGGGATAGGGATAAATGCTTCAGTGCTCCATTTTGAAGTGCAAGGTCAAAAGCTCACAGTCCCATCTTTTTATTTCTTTATTATTATATTTTAATTTAGAAACTGACATTTTGGATTTGGAATATGTATGGAGGCCCATGAAAAAATTATGTTTGTGTCATCCTGATCTCTTGCTGTTATGCAATGTATTTGCATGTCAATGTATTTTCTTGTTTGGTTGTTTTCTTAAGAGAAAGCTTTGTTCTATTTTGTTTGCTGTATTTCTGACACAGCCATTTCAGACGAGCAGAAAATGGGGTATCTGTGAAGTTGCTGAGCCTGATGTAACTGATGCAGGATTGTTAGCAGCACTCTGGGAGCTTATTCCGTGTTGCCACTTTGGCAAAGGGAACAGAGGGGCATTAAAGGTACTAGGGCCCAATATTGCTTCGTGTGCTCTGGGTACAGAATTAGCCAAAGCCTCCAGAACTGTCGGGAGTACTGACTGTTTTAGAGAACTGAGAAAAGCATGATTTTGTTTGCAGGCAGAATGGGCTTGATGTTAAAGTTATTGAGAGACAATAAATATATCATCTCAAGGTACCTTTTAAAGAGACAGTGATCAGGTTGTGCCTACACTTTTAGTTCAGAGCATTCCAAGAAGTATTCAATCATGAGTACCGTTAGCGTGGAAGGTGACTGATCTGGCTGCAAGGATACAGTATGTTAGGAAGGGGAGAGCCTCTTCTTGCACTGTATCACACTCTGTACAGAAGGACACAAATGCTGTTCCAGTAGGACCACAATTCACAGTGATGAACATAAATCTGCCAAATAACAGCTCAGGTCTGCTTGGCGAAGTCAGTGAGAGCTGCAGGCCATGAGTACCATGTGCTCCATCAGAGGATACATGTGGGGGTGGTGCTACCAAGAGCCCAGTGATGGGAAAAGGCTGAATCAGAGCTCATCAGGTGCCAGAGAAGCCAGTGATGAGACCATACGGAAACCAGGCTTTCTGAATTCTCTTGCTCACGAAACTACTGCTGTTCTGCCTGTTTTCTTCTGTTGGTAAATGGTTTCTAGCCTGAGACTGTGTGTAAAGTTTGCCTTCAGGCTAATTCTTAACAGATGTTGCCCTTACTCCCTTCAAACAGAGATGTATTTTAATGGTCCATTCTCAAGTAGAGGTCTTGGCAGTTGTTCATCATGAAAAAGAGAGGATACTTAACCATTGCTTCAGGGCACCACGTATTAAACACGGCCCATGTGATACAGTGGGAATTACTGAACCTTAAAAACATTTCTGTTTAATTTCTATCTTCAAATTAATTCCAGTTTCAGATCTCTGTGCTTTCTGAAATTATATTTGAATTTGAATTGCAAAATATATTGAGATGGTTGTTTACTTATGTATGATACTGAAAATCTGATCAGGCAACACTGTCTTTTGTCATACAAGCTGGGTAATTTTGGCAATGGATTTTTTCCTACAGGAATGTAAGCCAAAAATGTGGAGAAGCGTTGTAATTCAGAAGGGAAATACTCTCTTAATACAAGAGGTCCAGGAAGAAGATGGAGGAAATTATACCTGTGAACTGAAGTTTGAAGGCAAACTTATACGAAGAACAGTTGAATTGAAGGTTACTGGTAAGAATCTTTGTTCTATGGCAATAGAAAAAATAAAGCTTTGAAATAATAAGAAAAAGTGGTTTTCACATGCCAGTGAATCTATCTGATAGATGTAAGTCCAAACCAAATCCCAGTAGCTGAGCAGTCCCAAACTAGGGTAAATTTGTATCAAGATCTTATAAAATTCTACAGAAGAATACTTCTACCATTTGCTTTGTAAAAAACCTGGAAATGCTGGTTATAAAGCAAAAGGTAGAGTGGACCTAAGTTCTCCCTATACTCTGGAAGTAATTCAGACTCCGGTTTTATCTTCCATGCTAAACAGAGGAAACGTTGACTGAAGCTGTGAAACAGGGTTTGGGTGAGGTTTGTCCTAGAATAAAACACAGCTAAAAGAGACGTCTTGAGTCATTAATATTTTTCTTTGAGTGACTGTTCCATAGTTTTAAGCTTTAGTTTAATTTTTGATGATCAGCTTCTCAAGTCTAGGGTTTGTCTTTAGTGAAGAGTGTGGCACAACCTGTTCCAAGGATGAAGTTAGGAACATTGGACTGTCCGGAGGAAAGTAACCTGCTTATCAGGAGATCACACGTATGTTTCTGAGTCCATGTAGTAACCTACTAGTCAACAGTATTTTTCTGTCTCTTTTTGTCAGGTACCAGAAATGAATGGGTAAAATAGTATTGCCTACCAATATATTCCTGATGCCCTTCCATTCCAGTGTACAGTATGTCATATATAATTATTATTTTGCCTTCAATGTCTGTGGATTTTTGCAAGTATCTGAAAACAGTTCAGTGTTTTTCAGCCTTTCGCACAAAACCATATAAACAAATGGTTAGGTGTTTTCCCATCTGTGTTTTGACATACTGATTAAAATACTCAGGGACTTTATTGAAGAATATGACTCATGGGAGGCAGAAAGAAAACCACATACCAATGTAGTTGTTGACACACATCCTGAGAGTTTGCTTTCCCCAGGCCTAGTGCAGATCTAGGTTGGAGGCACCTCTGGGGACCATCCCATCCAACCCCCAGCTCAAGCAGAATCAGCTACAGCAGGCTGCCCAGGGCTGTGCCCAGTTGGGTTTTGATTATCTCTGAGAATACAGTCTCCACAACCTCTCTGGGCAAGGCTGCCACAGTGTTCAACCACCCTCACAGTAAAAAAGATTTTTCTTATGTTTAAACAGAATTTCTTTTATTTCAGTTTGTGTACCCATTGCCTCTTACTCTTTCACTGGGCACCACTGAGAACAGTCTGGATCCATCTTCATTACACCTTCCCACCAGTGTTATACGCATGGATAAGATCCCCAGAGCCTTCTTTTCTCCAGACCAATCCACCCCAGCTCTGTCAGCCTGTCCTTCTGAGAAAGATACTCCAGTCCCTTAATCATCTTTGCTTATCAGGAGATCACACGTATGTTTCTGAGTCCATGTAGTAACCTACTAGTCAACAGTATTTTTCTGTCTCTTTTTGTCAGGTACCAGAAATGAATGGGTAAAATAGTATTGCCTACCAATATATTCCTGATGCCCTTCCATTCCAGTGTACAGTATGTCATATATAATTATTATTTTGCCTTCAATGTCTGTGGATTTTTGCAAGTATCTGAAAACAGTTCAGTGTTTTTCAGCCTTTCGCACAAAACCATATAAACAAATGGTTAGGTGTTTTCCCATCTGTGTTTTGACATACTGATTAAAATACTCAGGGACTTTATTGAAGAATATGACTCATGGGAGGCAGAAAGAAAACCACATACCAATGTAGTTGTTGACACACATCCTGAGAGTTTGCTTTCCCCAGGCCTAGTGCAGATCTAGGTTGGAGGCACCTCTGGGGACCATCCCATCCAACCCCCAGCTCAAGCAGAATCAGCTACAGCAGGCTGCCCAGGGCTGTGCCCAGTTGGGTTTTGATTATCTCTGAGAATACAGTCTCCACAACCTCTCTGGGCAAGGCTGCCACAGTGTTCAACCACCCTCACAGTAAAAAAGATTTTTCTTATGTTTAAACAGAATTTCTTTTATTTCAGTTTGTGTACCCATTGCCTCTTACTCTTTCACTGGGCACCACTGAGAACAGTCTGGATCCATCTTCATTACACCTTCCCGCCAGTGTTTATACGCATGGATAAGATCCCCAGAGCCTTCTTTTCTCCAGACCAATCCACCCCAGCTCTGTCAGCCTGTCCTTCTGAGAAAGATACTCCAGTCCCTTAATCATCTTTGTGGTGCTTCACTGGACTCGTTCCAGTATGCCATGTCTTTCTTGTAGTGGGATTGATATTGCACTGGGCCACATTATTCACCTGTCTGAAAACTGAGTTCTCATCAATATGCTATACCAGGAGGACAGGGTGGGATCAGGGCTGAGACTGCTGAAC